ACACTGAAGCGAACAAAGCTTGTTTTTGATAACTTCCTCCTCGGGCTAATACAGTTATATATAGGGTTCAAAATTATCAAATTAGTGTAATGATCAGTTGTGATGAATTTGATTGGTTGATTGTGATCTTGTGTTGTGTGGTTTGGCAATGTGAGGGCAGTGTTGTTGTCGTTGTTATTGTTGTGTGTTTCGAAAATGTTCACAGTCGATTGATAAAGTGAGCTGATCCATTTCCGACCGTATCATGACAAAGGTCATGGTGGTTTCGGTCGGCTGTGTCAGGTTGAGGCCAGGGTAAGCGAAATGACTGGACGAATCGTTTTTTGAGATCAAACGGACGGATTGAGTAGGCGAATAGTCATTACCTCGGCTATAGCAAGGTGTTGTTGATGAACAGCTTTTGATGGGTTTGCTGGTACTTTGTAGATCACCTTGAAAGCGTCGTCGTTTGATTGATGCCCCGTGTCTGCAACAACAACACTGCCCTCGCATCGCCAAACGGCGCATCACAAGATCACAATCAACCAATCATATTCATCACATCTGATCATTACACTAATTTGATAATTTTGAACCCTATATATAAATGTATTAGCCCGAGGAGGAAGGTATCGAAAACCAGTTTTGTTTACTACAGTGTTTTCTTAGTGAATCAGTTAAACTTAGTCGCAACACACACATACTAGAAGTTTCTCCTTTCTTTTTTTCTTTTCATTTTACTTCCTTTTATTGAATGCACAAAGATACAACAATTTTTCAGGAAGGGGGAAGCGGCCAGTCAAAGTGCTGTCATACAATACACAAATGGGGAAAGTCACTCGGTGGTGGTGGGATTCGAACACTCTTCCTGCGGGGTGATAATTGGTGATGTTACCACCGGGACACCACCGCCACCACTCCATAAAACTTGAATAGATTTTCAAAGGTGATTTCATTGTGTATTTAGCCGATGAAGTGTGAACTAAAAAGCTAGGAAGCATTGGATCGCGGTTTCGACCTGGTTGGATCTCATCATTGCAGTGCGCGAATCCATTGATCCGACAAGGGATTGCGAATCCGAGAGTTCACAGGCAGAACGCAAGCATACTACCCACTCGGCCACCCCGGGGAAGCTACTCAGGCCGTTTTTCATTTTCCATTTACACGATATGGCACAATCCATCTTTGCGAGCTTTTTGCGGGACACAGACCCTGCTCATCCCGGCACTAGCCTCGGTTGGAAACATTCACAACCTGACTACTTGTTTCATGCGAGTAGTGGTGGATTTGATTCAATTTCAAAGATGATTTCGTCGTGTATTTAGGAATAGATTTCTCAATTCCTTACATAAATGTCAATCTTTTGTTGGCTATTAGCACATACATACGTGATCGATGGGAGTGCAGGAAAGAAACTCCACTCGCATTGTCTATCTCCTTTTTTACCGTACGTTTCATCTTCTTTTTGAACATTTTGTTCAAATTATCTCAATAACTCCAGGGTCATTCATTCAGGTTCCAGAAACTTCTTTTTGTTCCGAATTTCCTAAGGGACGGATTACTAGTAGTAGTCAGATGCAATAAATCACTCTTTCTGTGAAAGAGTGTCAACATGGATATTGATTGAGCTCATGCAACATGACTCTCTCATTTTGGAACTGCATATCAGTTTCCAATAGCATACGTGTATGTCGATAGCTAGGGAGCGGTGAGTGAAGGTGGGCAGAGTATTCACCCCGAACGTCATCCTCCACTGCGCGGTTCTTATGTAGTTCTCTCTTATCACTGTTTTAATTTGTGCGACTTTGAGTGTCGCGAAAAAAACTGCAGTAGTTCAAACTGACAATTCAGAAATCGATAATATTTTATGCAAAGTAGCACGGAATTGCATTCTTTTTAATAAACATGTTTGCTCATGTGTGAAGATGTCTATTCTGATCAACGCGCATGTTCTAAATACCTTTGGTTTTTTCATTCGGTGCATAGTAAATAAACCAGTCATTGCAAACTTTTTGTGACTACAAACTACTCACGTAACACCATTCATCATGAAAGAACTAAAAGGATAGTCCATGAAACATGCAAGTTGACTTTCAAAAGTTGACCTTGAGGTATGCGGCTAGTTGAATCAGCATTCTGCATTGTCTTTGCGCCAAAACCGAATGAAAAACCCATAGTTGAAATCGAGAGACGCATAAATTCGATGACTCAATTCTGGACTTGTGCAAATGCTTCGAGGTCGCATAATCTATTTTGTTTTTTCAATATCTCATAATCATGCCGTTGCAGTTTGTATGAGGGGAAAAAACCTAGGGATTAGGAGGAGAACAATCGTTCACTTCTTGTATGCGTGTATGTGTGTTTGTGTTGCACACCGCATTCCCAGATCTGTGCGTCCGGGGTTTTCAGTTATGTCAAGATGGTCGTGTGACCCAATGAACGATTGTTCACACTTTATTGTTCTCCTCTCAACCCCTAGGTTTTTCCTCCTCATATAAACTGTAGCGACATGATTATGAGCTATCCAAAGCAATTGTTCGCCTGAAATTGTGTTCTAAATGCGAGTGTTGGCATATTTCGAAATTTGAATTATCGCATAATCAACGAAATTTCTCCGTAAAGATATAAATAGAGAGGGAGAAAATTGATCACATCGAGGCAAGACGATGGTTTAATTCGATCGCAGCGGAGAAATGTTGCACACCAGTAATACGAAGGACAGTCCGCCAGAGTTTGGAAAATGATGGATCAGTTTAAAATGAATACACTTTAATGTCATTCGATCAATAGAAGTAAGAACATAAGCATATATTAGTGAAGATATGTTGCATCTGATGAGGGGGCAATATCATATTCGATCCCGTAAATGAGGCTCGGGACGTTATGAGGAACAAGTGTGATGAAACTCAGAGTGCTGCACGAGTTTGATCTATTATTATTATTATTATTATTATTATTATTATTATTTTTGTTTTGCACAGTCAGTCAATCTTACTAGCATTAATTGAACATTTCTTTCTAGAATAGTTCATTTCAAATTCAATGATTGCATTTTCTGGGGATGATAATCTCCTGCCATTTTCAGCGCTGTCCATTTTCGTTCACTCGGAATATCCAAATAGTTAGATAGAAAAGCGGTTATCGCCCAGTTTGTAGCATCATAGATGTGCAACAAAATCTGAAATTTCACGGGTACACTGTATGCAAACCTCAAAACGGGTGAGATGATGAAAACATCACCCTGCATATCGCTAGGTCATCATCCATCAGGATTCGTAGTTCGTTGGCAATTGGTATTGGTATTGGAGGTTGGGACGAGTGAATTTGACATGGAGTTGTACCGGTGACCGACAAACGCTCGTCCTGAGACAGATTGTCAGTGTGCCATTCTTGAGGTCATAACGCATTAGAACTAGGTCAGATTTGATGAGTGAAACAGGCCGGACAAATCCGTCAAAACGTCTGATCTATGCTTACATCACTTGCTCTACACTTGGCGGTAGATTTCTTTTCATTTTTTAGTCGTTTATCTTTGCTTAGCTTTTCAGTCGAACGAGAGAGACAGCGAGGGAGAGAAGGAACAACTCAACAAAGTAGGACTGATACGGGTCAGAACAGGATTCGGTGTAAACACAAGCACATTTTTGCTGTTACCTTTGATTTCGGTTTCGCCTTGGGCAGCAGCACAACTTTACCCACATTTTTACGCTCCTGTAGACGCTGCATCGCTTCCTTGACCTGTGTGTGTGTGTGTGTGTGTGTGTGTGTGTGTGTGTGTGTGTGTGTGTNGAAAATGGGTTAAAATGAGGAAAATGTGCCAATTGCTTCACGTCATTTAATTTAAACGGCAATAGTAATAGCATACGGACTTAATTCAACTCATGACCATCTGGCCGCTACCACCACAAACACCATATGTTTACGTAAGTGTAGTACCAAACAATTCGTCGCAGTGGTATGGGCAACGCGCGATCAACACAATTCACCCTATCCGCTATCCCACGATCGTCAGTTCACTTCACATGTGGTTAACTGCTATGCATGCACGACCATGTCGGAAGCTGCGTTTTTCGCTCACCCCAGAATTCATCTCGCCCAATCTATCGATTGTGATCTATATTCGGACTACTCAAGCGGGAATCAACTAGCTAAATTTCGATCCCCGAGCCACGTGCAACATGTGGTGGTAGCACAAGCCACAGTGGGGATTTGCTCGATGTCCAAAATGTGGGTCAAGCTGATTTGCTACAACAATTTGACTGGTTCATTTTCACACACCTGATTTCTGCTGTCCCAAAAGCGAAACGCATATGGCATACATGC